CACCATTTGTACAATTTTAAATCCCTGCCTCCCAGGAATGCTTTTGATCAAATATGATTGATATCCAGTGCACAGTTCTACAGAAGAAGTCGTTTGTAGCAATATAGCCAAATTGCCCCCTTTTGGCCCCGCCCCTAAGCCCCCTGGGGAGTCAGCCCCACCATTTGTACAATTTTTAATCACCACCACCTAGGGATGCTTCCAGTCAAATATGGTTGATATCCACTTCTTAGTTTCAGAGAAGAAGTCGCTTAAAGCAATATGGGCAAATTGACCCCTTTTGGCCCGCCCCTCAGCCCCCTGGGGGGCCATCCCCACCATTTGTACAATTTTGAATCCCCACCACCTAGGGATGCTTCCAGTCAAATTTAGTTTAATTCCAACCAGTGGTTAAGAAGAAGAAATCGTTTAAAGAAATTGTTGACGTACGTACGGACGGACAGACGGACGGAATACGGACGACGGACGCCACGGTATGGCATAAGCTCACCTTGGTCCTTCGGACCAGGTGAGCTAAAAATGTACACACCAGGTAAAGGTTACTGTAAATATATGTTATTGAAATGTTTCTGAATAATTAAAGAGGCAAAAGATATTGGAGTAAGAACCAGGACAAAATTGTAGGTATGAAGAGCGGAAACAAACATCACTAGTTTGTCTGGCCATGTATTTATTGTTGGAAAGTACAAGTGTGGCAAACTTACAGTCGCGAGACATGCCCACTGCCAGGCACTTCTTAAAACGGCAGTACTGACATCGGTTACGGTTTAACCTGATCACCATGCATTTCCCATCTCTGAGGCACCTGTACTCGATCTGCTTCTGTATGCTCCGACGGAAAAAACCCTGAATTGAGAGATAATTAGTCTGTGATTAGCATCAGGAATTAGCCCATACTTGTGTTGTACTGTTGTTATAACATAATTATCAGTTATAAATTCTACATCAAATTTATTCCAATTACCACATCATTTTATATTATTGCATCCCAAAAATATATTTGTTATGTACATTTATAGAGAAAGGAAGGATTCTGTACATATTTGCCATGATATATTAGCTCAATTTGTAAAAATATTTGCTATCATATCAGTATGAAAATTACAAAATGCCGTCAAATCTCGGTATTAACAACATAAAATTGAATAACTGGACTCTACTTAACTGAATGGATTATATATCTAATTCCTACTGTATGTAAACAGTATACTGGTAAGCTTTTGTTCAATCAAATATTGACCCTTCACCAGCAAAATCCATGTTCGCCCTGTGATAATTGCACCCTCCATATGTTAGCGCTATCTATGTATATATATATATATATGGTATGCTGTGTACACATATATTTACTGTCATGATAAATTCACCCTTATTGTGGAGGGTGAAAAAGGCTCAAGTTCAACTATGGTGAAAACTTCTCAGTATCAAGTATATTTTATAGTTTTTGCATATTGTCAATGAAACAATACTGAAAAAATAAAATAGCAATCCCAGAAATCTCAGTCACTTGAGGAACTGGTTTCGAAGCTTTTTATTGTTACTTGAGGAACTGGTTTCGAAGCTTTTTATTGTTACTTGAACTTTGAAATTTGCCACTTCAAAGTTCAAGTAACTATAAAAAGCTTATTATTTTATTTTTTTCCATTTTCCATTGATAAATATGAACGATGTCAAAAACCAAACTTAACATTTGAAGTAAAATTGTAAAAACAATTAATTTGATCTTTATGAGATAACTCTGGTATCAGAACAAAGATTTATGACTGGCGAAAACATTGAGTAGTAGACATGATTTTTGTATGAGACACTCCCTCCTCCAAAGAAATATTCATACACAATTTTGCAGTTCTAGGAGGCATACATTGTATATAAAGTTATATACGGGATAAACAATGGACATTCAATGTGATATAGGGTAACAAGGGGCTATAACTCTAGATGTATAAAGTGGGGTACGAGATCTTATTTAAGTATGTGACACTCCATCATTTGAAAAGGTACTCGCATAAAAAAAATGGCAATTGCAGGTGAAAGTTTCAAGCTTAAGTTTACATAAAATATATGCCACTGAACAAAGTGACACATGGACTGACAGATCGAGAGCAAACATGCATGTAGTCCCATCTGGTAGTACCAGTGAGGGACTAATAATACTGAAAATATCAGTATTCATCTACCTAATGTGTCAATGGAATGTTAATGACCACATAACAATGCTTTGTAAAACTTGCTTTTGTACTTTAAAATCTAGGCCTCACAATGCAATACTGTAATGCATCGTAAGCATATGATCATGATGTACAACTGTATTTTATACCTAAATATACTCCACAAGATGCAACTGTAACCTAATTATTTCACATTAAGTAACTCTTACCTTACATCCCTCACAGGATGTGACACCGTGGTGAAAGCCTGACGCTTTGTCTCCACACACATGAAGTAACTCTTACCTTACATCCCTCACAGGATGTGACACCGTAGTGAAAGCCTGACGCTTTGTCTCCACACACATGAAGTAACTCTTACCTTATATATAATTACATCCCTCACAGGATGTGACACCGTAGTGAAAGCCTGATGCTTTGTCTCCATACACATGAAGTAACTCTTACCTTACATCCCTCACAGGATGTGACACCATAGTGAAAGCCTGACGCTTTGTCTCCATACACATGAAGGAACTCTTACCTTACATCCCTCACAGGATGTGACACCGTAGTGAAAGCCTGACGCTTTGTCTCCACACACTTTACAGGGAACGAAAGTCTGTTTGGGACTGTTCGAGTCAGCAGCAGCAGCTTGAATCACATTCTCTTCTGTAAAATTATGGATAAACGTTTAAATTATAAGTAATTTGTTTTTGAAAATAGAACGCTAAACTTGCAGTGAGATTTCGTCTGTTTTCGACCTTGATTAGGACCCAAATTGGTACATCATATCACAGGCTATGCAACTTGTTTTTATTTCTACTAGTTGATGTGCCGATTGCAACAAAATGTATTGCTTTTATAAATTTATACCATACTGAACTACAATTGTATATGTAAACTTTTATATTATAAGGACCAGAAATCAACATTTAACCATGCTTATATTTAACCCCTTCAAAATCCTCGAAAATTTTGTTGACGTGCGTCGTTTTTACTGGTTTTCCGACATGTTTTCTTAGAAGTCATTGTGTACTCTTAAAATATTCCTGAAAACAAAACTGTTCGGTGGAAATGCTGATAAATGTCTCTTTTGATATATTGTTAAAGGAAAATGCTCAAATTTAATTTTAAAGTACAATTCGAACCATTTTCTGACCGTGTACCAATTTGGGTAGTGTACCAATTGTGGTAGCATGACGTAATAATAGTTGGTGACAGTTTGTTGGCACAGACTATATGCACCTCGGATTTGTCACCATATGTATAGATCTGTAATTGATAATTGCTTCCAACTAATTATCAGTGTTATACTCTTCATAGACTGTTAGCAAAATTGCATTATTCACATGAAGTATCCTAATTAACTTTCAGAATACAAGTGACAGTAGGCTGTATAGCAATAAGCTTAGTTTCTACACATATACAGCCTCATCATCCTCAAGTAATTATGAAAACCAGACATACAATGTGCAGGTTGGGGAAAACCACCAACTTGCGTATACTACGCAAACTCGCCTATTATACGCCATTTGCAGTATGGATTTTTTACTAAAATTAACCCAAATCGCTTTAATAGTAACTTTTGCAAGATATTATTAAAAATCGCATTAATTTATGACAAGGTAAATAATATTTTGCTAAAATATGTTTACTGAAAGCGTTGGCTACTTAGAAACTTGATGTATTATGTTTCATGAATGAATAAATGCGACATGGACAAACAATATGAAAAACTTTAGATTAAAGTGATTTTGGCTATTTTTAGTAACAAATCCATACCCCTACTGGCGAGTTTGCGTATTATATGCAAGTTAGTGGTTTTCCCCGACCTGTTGTTATTGTTATTGAAACCTGTACTCGTCACGGCATGTGGTTTTCACAAGCTAAGGGTCGTTGACTTGTGAATATTTGCATACCTTTGATGTGTTTGACAGGTGTAAACGACATGTCCTCGCTGTGCGAACTGTCAATCATGTCCCGATCCCCCCGGAAACCACTGGAACTTGAAGCCATAACTCCTGCCCCGAAGTCCATACTGTTTGACGTTGATCCCTGACTGTTCACAATATCCGTGGACTGGTTGAGGTAGTGTGACGAGGTCAGTCTTCCTCTCCTGACATAAATATCGGACCGAGAACTGCTCGCCTCAGCACTCTCAGATACCTCCATAGCCTCAGTTGACGTTGGGTCAGTAAACGGGAATTAAGGATAAGGCCCCGGTAAATGACGGTTTCTTGCAAGATCCAGTTTCATCCTCATATCTCCCACAGTCCATTTGATATAATATCTGTACATTCAATCACAGGAGTTTCTCACAAACAGTGAGACTTTTCCTCATTTACACTGACATGAAGGCGATCAGCTGTTCAATGTTTTATCATGTGGAGCAACAAAATATCCGCTTCAAAGAGAATGCACGTCAATTCCATTAATGCTTTTAGTATGCAAGGTAGATGACATTGCTTACCTTGTGTCTAAGATGTGCATTTCATCGCTATCATTTGAAAATATCTATTATAAACCTTAATAATGTAATTCAATCGAGACAAAAAACATATGTAAATGATTTCAACATGGTGGGTCTATTTACCACATTCCTGATGGTACGGCTAATTTCCCATAATGCATTTCGAAATTATAAGAGTGCGCCAGTACTTTCGTTTTGCAACAGGTGGGTCATTGTTTTTTTATCGACCATATACATGATGAATCACGAAGAAGCTGCCAATGCGATATAACAATATTTTAGTTGATACACCATTCATTGGCAGTAAGTCAACTGCGATATTTAAGCCCATGTTTACATATGGTGGCATATTTCTGCCATCGTGTTATTCTAGGTCGCGTTACGGTAACACGACTTGTCGAGATAATTATGTCGACAAGTCGTGTTATTTCATTTCATTAACGCGACGTTTCACAGAATTATGTCGACCTGTCGCGATAATTTATCACTACCGGTCAAGTTAGATTATCACGGATCTCGACCTAAATTTTGCTTTTGCCCAGATATGCCATCTAGTTAGTTTTTGCCGCGATAAGTTATAAATAGACACTCGGTCATTCCGGAACATCTCGGGATTTACGCTATACTTTGCTGGCTAGTACCTTGCAGTGAGCAGCCGCAGCAAGTCGAAAATACACATAAGTACAAATGTAGGAACAGAAACTGTTGTTTCATCGTGTAATATCCATAAAACAATGCAATCTANTTACATAACATTTCAATTACGCATTACGAGTTACCCTTAAGGATGTACACCTCTGAGAAGTCAAAAAAATCCTGTTTTAAACTTTTTTTCTTATATTGATTTTTGGAAAAAGGAGATAATGGCATAGTAGAAAATGCAAAAAAAAAATAAAATATGTCCGTGTGTTCGTTTTTGTACTATGATCTGTCAAAGATACCAATTTAACACAATAGGTGATTTTAGGTGAATTTTCGGGTTTTGACTATTTGCAGAACAAATTCATACAATTTCTTCCAAGTGTGTTATCAGATATGTATGAATGTTTGTAGAATTGATAAAAATATTGTTTTCTTTTAAATTATAGAAGTAAAATTTCTTAATCTGATTCATTTTACTCAGAAATGCGATTTTAGTTACCGCTACCCCTTATTTTTAATGAAAAATGCACATTTTTCCACCATTTTTTTTGCAGATTAAACGCTGGATATAAAAAAAATCCTGTATTAAACTTGTTGTGGTATTCAATGAATCGAAAAAAAATGTGTTTCTCTTTCTAAAACAGCCACAAAAATGGGGGGTCGGTGTGCTTCTTTTTTTGTCCCATTATTATTTGTGTTATTTTGCACCTTTTTCGGGGTCAAAAATCAAAAGTGTTTCAGTTACCCTAATATGTAAAAAAAAATTACCAATAATATACAACTTTCCACTTTTTTTGCATATTATTTTAATCATATTGAACATTATAAAGTTGTACAGCAAAATTGAACCTGCTACATTTTAAAATGGTGACACAATGACAATTTAAGTGATTAATCTAGTGTCAAAAAAGGTGAAATTTTACTTAAATACACTTTTTCAAAATGACCGCCAAATTGGTCATTTTTTCAAATTCTTGTAAAAAAAATTCTACACACAACAGACATCTAGTTTTTTTGACATATTTTTCAGATGTGTGTTTGCTATTAAACCTATCAAAATTTGATAAATATTACAAAAACCCGTTACACCAGATCAAAACGAGACTTGAACGTGACTGAAACCTCAGAAGAGTACATCCTTAAAAATGCACAGTGGGCATGCTATAACCAATCCAGCTCGAGTAGAGCACATCTTAACACAAAAGTTGAAAATACCATCTTTATGCTTGTAGTATTTCAAATTTTCTAAAGAACCTTGTCCTCGGACCCCCAAGTGGCTTTAAGTTAAGTTGGTTTAAAATGAATTAATATCAGTCGGTAAAATCGGACAGACATTTATTTAATTAATTTGTATTGTTTTTATTTTAAATGTGGAAGATGTTAACTTCATGTTTTTAGAATTTTAAAAATGCCCAACTTAATCAGTTAACATAATAATGAAGGCCCATATCAAAATATAAAGATTCCTTTTCCTCGATGTAGGAGCAGCATACACATCAAATCGAGCATTCATGTTTTTTTCTCTCGATCTCTCCTTTTTAACTTCTTTAGTCTGTAATTATCGTTTTACTCTAAAAATGTAAAATAAAATTCTTCTGTACTTCATGTTTTAAATAACTTAATTTGATGAAAAAAATGAAAGAATGTAAATTTTAAAAAACGAGCGTCCGATATTTTTTCTTCGAAAGAAAGGGATCAAATTCAACGTATAATGATTTTTTTTAATCTTATTTTTTTTCTTTGAAATATAAGACAAACGCTAACTCCATACTAACTTCTAGTTGTTTACAACTTTCCAGGGTCATGGAACTTGCATAAATGGCAACACCTGCGGCTGTAACATTTCTTGGCCACGATATTGATATGTGTATCGGATTATAAATATCCCAGTCTCATTTTCGTGAAATCCTATCCCGTCTTTGCGTATTGCAGAGTTATCTTCTCTTGTGAGCAGGTATTGATTGTTACGTCATTGGTTTGTGTGAGAAAATTACGTCATTTTCTCTAAAAATTGATGACGTTACTCTCACCAACAAATGACGTACTAATCAATACCTGCTCACAAGAGAAGATAACTCTGCAATACGCAAAGACGGAATATCCGCCCGTGCTTGTTGCTTAAGTATTATACAAACAATGAAATAGTAAAAGAAAAAAATGGTTACATGTAGGTCGGGTGTTCTAAATAAGAACGTTTTGTACCGGTCTGAGAACAAGTTTTTGCATTTAAACTGATTAGATCTGTTCTACCGTGTATTCAGAAAATATATTTAATATTGGGATACATATGGAGCAGGACAAGGAATGGTATTATTATGATATCTAGGTTTAAACTTATTTTATTATACAAATGGATATGGTAAAAATATATGGGGGGNTGTGAAATCGATCCGCATTAGAATAAATTATAAATTATACACATTCCATGACATGCAGCCTGGTAGAGTAATTTCAAAAAATGAACAGAATTAATGTAACAAATAAAACGGGCAAAATAATGAAATTCAAATTTTCGAGCAGGATGTGTCTTTCGTTGTTAAAAAGTAAGCACTCACACAAAAGTGAAAGGCATTTTCACATGGATGTCCACAATAACAAACTGGACTATCAACAAGATTTACTCTATAAAGATCATATGTAAGTGGACTACACTGATGTCTAAGTGTTCACCGAAACTTAGTAGATTGGTGGAGGAGATTGTACATTTGAAGTTAACGAGTTTTTGAAAGAATGTAACAAAGTCAATGCTATTGCTGAAAGGTCCAATGAATTCCAACCACGAGGAGTTGAAGGTATAAAAGATGAATTTGTTAGAGAAAGCCCGAAAGGAAGAACTCTATAATCATTATTGTTTCTAAGGGTGTAACGGTTATTTTCTGCAACGGAAGATGGCAATAGATAATTTAAATACTCTGGAGTTAATTTGTTGTGCATTTTATACAAAAGTTGGAGTTTTCTGCGTTTTCTTATATTCGAAAGAGTTTCTAGACCATTTTCAAAAATTAAGTAGTAAATTTGGGCATATGAAGGAAGTCCAGATATAATACGAGAAGCTTCGCTTTGGGCTTTCTCTAACATTTCTGTCTCATAAGTTGTACAACCATCCCAGAATTCACAAGCATTATTATAAAACTGGTAAAATAAATGATTTATGAATCTTTAAAAGATTATCTCGATTTAATAAGTATTTTAGTCTACGTAAGACGTTGAATTTTTTCATAAATGAAGTATATATTGCACAAATATGATCCCCCCATTTTGCACTTGAGTTAAAAATTACACCTAAAAGTTTATGACGATCAGTGAAATTTAAAAATTCGCCATTAAATTCTAATTGTAAATCTTCATCAATTTTAACCAAGTTTGAAACAAACATTGCCTCAGTTTTTTTCTGGGTTGAATGTTACTTACCAAGTTTGGGACCATGCATTAAGAGACTCAAGATCTCTATTCATAACCGCTTGGATTTCTAGACATGAAGAGGGTGATTTTAACAAAGAAGTGTCGTCTGCAAAAAGACGAGAGGTTGATTCAAATACATCAGCAATATCATTAATATAGATAAGAAACAAAAGAGGTCCAAGAATCGAACCACGAGGAACACCTGTTTCAACGAAACCTAAGTCGGAGTAAGAATTATTCAAAAAGACTCTCTGGTGCCTCTGAAATAGGTAATTTTCCAACCAATGATACAATTCCCCTGAAATTCAATAGGATTTTAACTTAATCACCTAACCCGTATGCCAAACCCGATCAAAAGCCTTAGAAATATCGCAGAATCCCATACATACATGTTGTTTCCCCTCTACAGCAATACAGATGTTATGATACATTTCAATGAGCTGATGTACAGTAGAATGACCAGGCAAGAAACCAGACTGGTGCTTATAAAAAAGTGTGTTTTCAATAAAATAATTATGCAAGTATTTGAAAATTACTTTCTCAAACACTTTTCCAACTGTAGATAATACAGAAATTGGCCTGTAGTTAGAGGGAGAATGCCTGTCACCTGTCTGATATTTACTTCTGCCCTTACAGAATACGCCATATATACTAAATAAAGCATGCAGCACGTGCCATTTTAAACTTTTGTTTGATTATGAGTTTACCGTTCATGTACACAATGATATTACGAAGATTGCAATGATGCTTATGCTATTAACTACAAGTACAAATTGTAAAATATATACAACCAGGCATTTCTTATGGCGATGAAATGTTTGTAAATCGTGCCTCGAAGAATGAGTGGATGGACGCGGGGAATATTTTTTTAAAGCATCCTGCACAAAATTTTAATTTGCAGCCAATAACCTTCATTGTACCCTTAATTAACATTTTCGTCTCGTTTTGAGTTAAACAGTTCAGAAATGCATAATTTCTAGGAATCTAACCTTCAACTCCATATAATGGGTGACCAATAAAAACGTGTTCTCACAATAGAATTTGTGATCGCTATCCTTCGTAAGATGATAGATGTTGTTTTTTCAAACAAGAGGTCCATAGGCCCTGTATCGCCTATCTGCAAACCTGTACATGTAGAAATGTGGGTCCAGGTTGATTGATTGATTGACTGACTGATGCTACTTAACGTCATTGTTTCAACGAGTCTATGACACACTGAATCAGAATTATGTATTTGTAAAAATACCTTATTGCCATTAATACCAAGTAAACTACATAGTACTTAAATATTCTTACTTTGGAACTCATGGTTCAATAGAAGAAGTTGTTCGAAGAATGTAGCACATTTTACCGTCTTGCATTTAAAATTGAAACAAGGGATACTAAAAACGTTGATAAACCAAGCTACAGATGCCATATAAATCATTAATCAAACTCCCAACATGTCTTAGAAGAAGTCGTTTAAGGAGTTAAAGCATGTTTTTTTTTTAAAATAGATCTTAGACTGTTATTACAATGGTGAAATGGGAGTAGCCTCCCTTACAACGACATATGCTCAATTTCACCTTTCTCGTTCTATGTAAGGATTGTCCAGATGTAATTCCATTCCTCTCCATCTACTTCACTTACAAATACAATACACATTTCTATCTATCACGAAGATACAGTCGTTGGACTATGGAAATTAAGTCTATGTTGTCTTTAATTGATCTTTTCTAAGACTTTGATAGGGTTTCACATACGTAAGTTTGGTTTGGTTTAATTTTGTTTAACATCCTAGTAACAGCCAATGTCATTTAAGGACGTGCCACCATGCGTGTAGTGTATGCGTGCTTGTGTGTGTGAATGCAGGAGACATGGTATGTTGCTGTGCTTGCCTCCTTGTGATAGCGCGGATCTGATGCCGACTTGATAGTGCTATCTCACTGAAATACCATGCCGAAGGCACCCAGCACAGCATTCTGCCCGGTCACATTATACTGACAACGAGTGAACCAGTTGTTGCCATTACCCTAAATGCTGAACGTTAAGCAGGAAATAAAAACTGCCATTTTTAAGGACTTTGGTATGTCCCGGCCTGGAAACAGAACCCATTGCCTTCCTCACCTGGGCGAACGCTCAACATTAAAGCCAAAAGTGAGGTCTTGCCAAACAAGGCGCTAGGAAATTAAAGGTAGTTAGAAGTAAAAAGAAAGATAAAGATCCCAAATATTGCAATGGATGCAGCAGATTTATTTGGGTCGCTTTTGTATCCCCAAATAGAGGACACCAAAGCTAATTCCCAATTCTGCAGGGGTTTCCCTCATTAGTCGCTTCCTACGATACACGCAGTGGGTAACAGCAGGTGTATTCTTTTCCCGATCCCCCACCTGCAGGGGTGACACACGGAAGTATATAAGACGCAGAAATACGAAATCACCGGGAAAAATGATCTGGATCGAAGGATATCTGATAGAATAGGATCAAAGAGTGGTTATCACAGCATCATAATTATCATCAGCACACTTACCTAGTAAGGAGTACCGAAACCTGTCAGAGCACAGAGTAAACATGACAAGTATAACACACATTTACTAGTGCCATAATGAACATAATGAACACCGACAAGGAAATGGAGCTTAAGCACTCAAACAATAGGCAATATCGTAAATACGCAACGTCCTTTTGAGGTTAGTTTAACTGAGGGTATACATTTTCAGCCCGAAGATGCTTTGCATACTTCTTGTCTCCCGAAGACATGGTTTGAATGCGGACAGCACTGTTTAATTTTACACTATTATCCGTTATAACATTGTCACTTCCCTACAAAATATCTCGCACTCCCCGTTGTCATGTTTTCCTCTGCCTTCATAGCCACAGTGATGCTATCTTTGCTTGTTTGCAGAATGCTCCACCATTTCCCTCTGGTCTTACTTGATGCATCGCCTCTAAAGTGATTGCCCAGCGAAGCTTTACATCCGACTTCCACTGGTTTATACCATGCTCCTCAACCTCTGTCTGACACTTGCCAGGAGCCGGTAGCTGGTATTTGGTGCTTTTGTTTCGTTGGCCTTCCAATTTTCTCTCTTTTTGAATAACAGCGAAACATCTAACTAGATGTACCATAAGCGACTTAGAAAATAAGAATTGTAAACACTGGGTTACAGACGACAGTGATTGGTTTTACAATTTGAAAATAAATTAGGGTAAGGTTAATATTATGATCATCCATCATGAGTTTGGATGCCCTTTTCTCTCATAACCGGAGAAACATATGTTTCTCTTGGAAGCACGCGATTCCTGTCTGTGGAACATTTGTCGTATATGATGGAGTTACAATGGGAGATTGTTAGCTAGAAAAGTAACCACCACCGTTCAGGTTTCTACCCACATGTCGATGACATAAATATTTTGAAACTCTTTGCATGTTTATGGAAGGGTTAAGGACGAAAGAAATCATGAACCATTAAATAAACATGCAAGGAGTTTCAAAATATTTATGTCATCGACATGTGGGTAGAAACCTGAAGTGGTTATGGAAGAAATATGTGTGTACAGAAAATATATAGTAAAGCCAGGCACTCTATAAGTGTATGGACCATCAAATAACAAAAGACATATCTAGGAGACTTGTAAAGGAATTACGTAAGTTTAAACATCAGCTAAAATCAATTGACGAAATGGCAGCCAGTTAGAACGGCAAATCCAAACGTGAAGCCTCCAGAAAATCCATTTCCAAGAGTAGAGTAAGTCTGAGCCTATGACAAGTAGAGTAGCAGATACCGGAAAGTGTAACAACACATTTCTACAGTATCTTTTTTATCATATTCCTTAGGTCCGATCCTCTTTAAGTAGTTTTTATAGTTTTTGATAGTTTTTAATGGAGTAGATGAGGCTAGCTCGTCACGTTCTTGTTATGTCAGTAATAAAATGATCGAACTTCGCGCATCCAGATCTTCAAGTCAAAGAGAGCTTGCCAGTACGGAAGAAGCATGACATTAAGACGATGGTTTTTCAATAGGTGCGCTGTTGGTGAGAAATTGGTAAGCCTATTTCATTATTCTCATGTCACAATGAAGATAAAATATACTTTCCTCCATCATGTTTATAAATTAAATTAAACACACTTTCCCTTCTATGAAAAAACACGTGACCTCATTGTATTCATGTACTGGTTAATACAATTTGTTAAAGTACAGCTGTAATAGGAATTTTTTTCAATATATTTACAAGAGGCAGAGGTAATTTCAAAAGTAATTAAATCAAACTGTTTGGGGATCTATACTCTGGTTATCTAAATACTGCTTTTTTCTTTATTTTTTTTTTATATAATATACATTGACCTAACTGCCTTTACTATCGTAGTGGACCAGAGTCTGTAAAAAATGTAGTTTCTGCTCCTGCTTAACGCTCAGCAATTTAGGAGTGGAACGACTGGTTCGCCCGTTGTCAGTATAATGTGATCGGGTGGGGTATCCTGCTGGGTGTCTTCGGCAGTATGTTTCCGTGAGGTAGCACTATAAAGACAGCATCAGTTCCGCGCTATCACAAGGAGACGAACACGAACATATCGCAGCCCCCCAAAACACACACGCATACACTACACGCATGCATCTTGCACACAAGGGAGGCCGTCCATAAATGACCATAGCTGTTGATAGGACGTTAAACAATACTAAACCAAACCAAACCAAACTGCCTTTAAAATCGTGGTGGATACCATAACTTTGAACAGTCTTCATTGGGTACCTTACCTTTTACCAAATATCATAGAACCTTACTCGTTGTAGGTGATCTGTCAATATTTATCTTCCTCGGTGGGAGTGAAGAAGGTGCGGAGCCCGATAACATTTTTACAACAATAAATATTTCATTTCTGGAATATTATAGTGGTGTTGTTTCTTTTGTTTGATTGGGAGTGATGACACAATTACATTTCATACACAAAATAGAACAATGATTTTCTGTTCAATCTTTTTATTTAAATCACGTCATACATCATTAATATGACAATATTCATGTTCAGGCAAAGAGGTTATGATACTGCGTCATTTAGATGCACATTCAATGTACAGATGTCTATCTAGTTACAAACTATATTTATATAAACTATTTACAACAATTATTTCTGAATAAACTACAATGAATAGGTATGGCACAGGACATACAGGGCATCTGGCACGGGAATGTGTGTTCACAATAATTACTCAGTGGAATGTTGATACAGACAAATCAACATTAGATACCACGCACCTGTAGGTAACTACAATCGGTCTACCTTTACAGATGTGTAATACTGATTAAATTGCATCATCTTAATATTTATAGACCGCATGTCTACCGAGACTGGTTTCCTCTCTCTATCGACAGGTCTCTATTTACAATGACTGATGTTTACTATTAACAGTGTGTATGTTAATAACAAGACATACACTGACAAAGGAACTGTTTAGGTTTTAGCCGATATATTTGATAGTATATCTGAAAATAAATCAAACTGAACCCAAATTTAAGCTAAATAATAAACCTTATATGATACCAGTATTTTCAATGAGTGGAGAGATATGTGTTTTTATAAATTTTATCAATTCAATTCATACCGTTCTATAACATTGAAATTGAACAAAAAAATCGATCGTACATGTGGTGTAAATGGTTAACATTTGGAAAATCGATAGTTAATTCATTAAACTATTAATGCATACTAATATATTCAACAGGAACAATTTATCTATTAATGGTTTCTTTCTAAGGAACACTTCATTAATGTGATTTAACAGCAGGAATGATTAAACTATGAATGTTTATACACAGGACCAATGAAGTTATTATTATTCCCCCGCCCCCCCCCCCCCATGAAATATTCAACATGGTCGAAGCAGCTGTTGTTATTCAAGATATCATGAATGTGCAACCTTGTGAAAATTAACATGTATATGGAAACTTACAGTGTATATATTGAGACAGACATCTATGAACTACAGATTTCATTTTAACATTGTTTCATTATGTTAATGGTTACTATTTCTTTTCTAATTCAAATAGAAAGTACAATTTGTTACTCACGGCAGTTATGGAAACATTGCAGGGTATCTATTATTACTCACGACACCGGCCAGAGACAATGTAATTTTACAGAAAGCATTGCCAGGAGTTTATATTTTAGTACATGTATTGCATTTCAGAAATTAATACTTGATAATCACATAATAGCATCTATCAATGTTAAATTGCTCTTTCCTTTTATTGCAAGTGACAGAATTAAGATATTATTTAAACGGCACATTTGTTATATGACTTTGCCATAAAGTCTATCATGACGATCATATGACTTTTGATACATATTAGAACACCCAATATGACGTCACAGGCAACAATAAGAAGACGTCACGAATTCACGGTAAAGACGATAAATGGCGATTTTGTTTTGTTTTTGTAATTTTGAGACAATATGTATTTTTTCAATGAGACATTGCGGAGTTGCTTGATTCTTTATGTTTCCTTGCGGTTGAAGACTTCCAGAAACTTCTGTATTGCTAAAAAGGATTGGCTCCTAGGTAAACATGTAAAACGTTACATATTTGAAATGAAATATACATTCAAATGATTTCACGTCCACAATCTAGCATGAATGTACATAGAAAACATACACTTTTCTGTGATAAACCGTAAACAAGATACAAGTACTTAAATGGTAGGATGCGAACAAACTATTTAACAAGAACGGTTGAGACATTAAAACGAACCAAAAGACATATAGAACTTATAAAAACAATTGAAGGCGTCACCAGATGTCCTCAAAGAGTCATTGTGTTCATAGCAATAGCTTTTGACTAAATTTTCTGGTATATAAAGATGAAATTTAACTGATATTTCATTATCACTTCCCCAAAATTAAGACAGATGTTTGTGGTTCGATAGAAGAAGTTCTACAGTCGCCATAATGACCTTAAAAGCCAACGCGACGGTTTTGATAGTTATAATTAAAGACCTGTTCACTGTGCCTTAAGATCGCTGATGAACCACATAATGTCCATTGTACGTATTACATTTATGTATGTTAGGCGCTACTTTTATTACATGAAATGCTTTCCCTCCGGGAACAAATAGGTTTACTTTCAAGATTTAACGGTGTTTTATTATATCACTTCGTTTATTTTATTGTCTATTTAACTCCCGTTGTTGTCTTTTCATATCGATTTTGGGTTCAGATCTCGTCTTATTGTTGACGTTGTGTTTTTTGCTTTTATTTGTTTTTATATATCTCACCTTATTAGGGGAGGTTATCAAGAAAGGCAATCCAGAATATTTCGTCAAACAAACTGCTCAAAATGTACAATTACTTGTCCGAGAGTCTTATATTTCAGCAGTAAGGTACAGTGACTACATTTATGTTAAACATGTCGATTTAAAAATACCGCATATCAGTTAATTTTCACCAACTGATATTTTCACGATTATGCATCAACTGAAAAACCGTAAATGTACTAAGTGTCGCGTTAATAATATATTAACACCGCAACATTGATAATTTACAGAATTATTCCAGCAGTGACACACATCTATAAGTAATGTGTAGGTAGGGAGCACAATTCAAAGGGAAACACAGTCATTATTGCTGAATCACTATTGTTACAATACGGCAAGACCACTAGCACCTGGTGTCTATTTACATTATATCACAATCCATAAAATCTACGTATTAGCGCAGGCACTTGAATTAAGCTAGTATATATAATTATTTGTTAATAATAATTAAAACGATCCGTCATCAAGTACAGTAATTAAAGTAAGAAACACGTTTATTTGATGCGGCTGGACACTGATCTTCCCTCTTATTTGATGTATTATAGATAAATATATATGTACATGTATTTAAAAAATAAATGGTGACCAATTTTGTATTAGCTAATTCAAATGCCTGTGATTATATCAGTATTTTTATATACAATAAGCACACAATGGTGTGTTAAAACAGATCTGCACCAGCTCCGAGACACAATTCTCTAATTAAATACACATAATGATACTTGTTTTACACAAGCTTATAACACCAGTAAAACATATTAAGTATAATATATATTATATTCATTAATACAAAACCATGGATAGGTTGATTGGCAAGATCTATTTATATTTATGCATTATACATAATTTTCGTTTCTATCTCTGCTTATCTGTTAAGTACCTATCGGTCACATTTTCATTCAAAGGAAATCTCAAAGATGTCTCTCTCAATTACACTTTGTCACAGAAATCAGTTTCATGTATTCTCACGTTCTAGTAATAAGCAATGTAGGAAACACCGCATGCACAAAAACTACTATTGCCGAGTTTAAAATCCATTTTAGTCGGAATTGCCTCCCTTTGAACGTCACTTTCGTGTTTCAATACCACACTTTCTTCATCGTGTAAAAATTCCAGCAGAAATATACATATTCACGCAAATCAACAGTTCATCTCAACATTTTGGCACAGTCGTAATGCTAATTTAGATACTGGAGTATCATCAGTTAGACACATGTACGGTATTAGTGCACACGACTTCAGTTGGACATCTTTATGGAATGTTTCTTCGTCAAACAATATCCTTAGATTAACATTTTAAGTTCGCCTCCTCTGATATTTGGATGTCGTTACAAGTGCTTCTTCCTCCTCTGCACCTGGAAGGCTATGATAAGGATTTGAATCGTTTCCCCCACCGCATCTAGGATACCGAGAAGACATGGATTATAATTGTTTTATCCATTATAGCGAGGATTACGTGAGCAAGATTTGAATCGATTTTCCACCGCATCTTTGGGGCCGTGACCAGGATTCGAACGTTTCTTACTCTGCATCCCGGAAAATAATACCAAGATTTTATCCGGTTAACACTACCTCTAGAATAACCTGGCCAGGATTTGAATTCTCCGTTCTTCTGCTTTCAGGCCGCGTTCCGAAATGCGGGGATTTAGTTACTTTAAACTCGTACTAATTGAGCTTTTGTCACGTCATAAATACCGTGTTGATTGAGGGTAGGGGTCCAGGGTCGTTGTAGTTAGGGGTCATGTCGTGGTCAGCGGTCAGCATGCCACTGACCGCCATTCCAATGATATCCTGACCCAAACCGTCGTGATGCACTGAAAGAGACAAAAATCGTAGTTGAAGGAATAACATAATAGATGAATACCATATTTGGCAAAGACTAATTTGCCAAAAGTATTCAATTGTAGTCATTGGTCAACATTTTATTCAGACAACACAATATAAAGTTTTAATGTTCGATACTATTAGAAATTGATATACATGTATCGTATTCATTTCTTTCTCTCTCTCGAAATAAATCATACAGGAACATAATTTAAGTATTAACGAATCACATTTAATTTGAGGCTATGAACGATTTTGAATGCGACGTTAACATGCAGCTATTGTATACAAGTAATATGTTTAAAAAAAAGCAATTTGTTCAACCTTCCAGCAAAGCAATAGCGTGAAGGATGGATTGGTATAATATCGAGTGTATAAGCATTATGCATGTATTGTGTCTTACTTCTTGGACTGTGACAACTTGCGGGGCTCCCGTTGGTATAGAGATGGAGGTCTTTGTGACGTTGTGGCTTGTCCAATAAGTTCAGAGGATCGCTCATGTCGTTGTGATACGGGGACGGGATAGGATTCCTCTGCTGGATCACAGACACGTGTTCCACCAAGGGCTTAGAGGGCTGCGGGTAGCTGGGATTGTAGTAATCTGTGACAATAAATTAAACAAATAACGTAAACCGGTCAATATAACAATTTATGTCTTGTGTCGAGGAAGTTTTCGTTTCAGTCCACACGGGCATTACTAATCCTATGCATACTATCACAACAATATATGATGATGATAACGTTTACATGAAAGAGGTAAGTATGAAAGTTAAGATTATTTCCCTGTGGGTGAGTATGAATGTAGTGTATTTACCTAAGGGTGAGTATGAATATAGTGTATTTACCTCAGAGTGAGTATGAATATAGTGTATTTACCTCAGGGTGAGTATGAATATAGTGTATTTATCTCAGGGTGAGTATGAATGTAGGGTATTTACCTCAGGGTGAGTATGAATGTAGGGTATTTACCGCAGGATGAGTATGAATGCAGGGTATTTACCGCAGGATGAGTATGAATGTAGGGTATTTACCTCAAGATGAGTATGAATGTAGGGTATTTACCACAGGATGAGTATGCATGTAGGGTATTTACCTCAGAGTGAGTATGAATGTAGGGTATTTACCTTAGGGTGAGTATGAATGTAGGGTATTTACCTCAGGGTGAGTATGAAGGTAGGGCGTTTACCTCAGGATGAGTATGAATGTAGGGTATTTACCTCAAGATGAGTATGAATGTAGGGTATTTACCGCAGGATGAGTATGCATGTAGGGTATTTACCGCAGGATGAGTATGAATGTAGGGTATTTTCCTTATGTATGGTATTTACCTCAGAGTTAATATGGATGTATGGTATTTACCGGAGAATGAATATGAAGTTAGGATATTTACCTGAAGGTGAGCATGAATGTAGTTTATTTACCTCAGGGTGAGTATGAAGGTAGGGCGTTTACCTCAGGATGAGTGTGAGTGTAGGATATTTACCTCAGGATGAGTATGAATGTAGGGTTATTACCCGAGAATGAATATGAGTTAGGATATTTACCTGAAGGTGAGCATGAATGTAGTGTATTTACCCGAGAATGAATATGAAGGTAGGATATATAACGGAGTGTAAAATGAAGGTAGGATATTTACCTGATGGTGAATATTGCGATATGATAGTAACCTGAGTAATTTTATCTAAGTATCAAAGTCTTGCTATAAACGTTTTGTTACTGTATTCTGTGGTTGAGATCTATGTCGTTTACCTCACAATGAGTTATATTCTCATTTCATTATGTAATATAGAGTAATCGTTCCACGTTCATTTTGAGGTTTTATGATTGACTTTGAAGTTTTGTTATTTCCAAGAAATTTGGTTAGCTTAAGGCTTTATTTGCGTTATTTCATATCTCATTGTGCTTCATAAGAGTTACCTTAGGAAAGGCTTAAAGTTTTCCCCAACTTATAACTATTTCATGAATTTGTAATTATTATGTATGTAATTGAAACTATTGCATATGTTCTCCGCCATTGTACAAGATATTTGTAAATATTGATCAATATGTATATTTCTGTACGCCTATATGCAATGTGCATTTGGTAATACATTTCATTGAATTGAACATGAGAGTGGTAGAGAAGGTATGATATTTACCTGAAGGTGAATACGAAGTGTTAAAGGGTGGATTACTCTGTACGACGTTGAAAGCACTGCTACCCTGGTTATGGACGTTGGACGTAGAATAACCTGACTGAGAAATACTAGTATAGCACGAAGGATTGAAGAAAGATTCGGCTCCAAAATCAGCATCTCCAAACGGCGGATATCCGGCGTCGAGGTCCTTGCCGACGGTATAGGGTGAGTGTGTGATATGTGACCGGAAGGCACTGGACGCGTAGGAGTTGTTATATCCTCCGAGACCGTAGTTAGGGGCTCCTGTGTAATCCGGAAGTTGACCTGTAACAAGGAAGGGTTTACTTATATAGAGTCACGCGATTACATTTTTTTTTTTAATAATGACCTATAACATATCGAGTTTTTTGAGGTAGCAACCTTTTCATCCATTCTTTTATCTATGTTCTATATGTAAGTAGATAAAAAGTCATATCAATACATCAATTCAGTTGATTAAGAAATATTTTTCTCCGTTTTCTAGGTTTCATTTGCTATGTAGTCATAATGATGATTTGGCATAGCCCTATTTTATATTAATTACTGTATCTGTTCTTTAAACATTAGATATGTAATGGCAGTTGATGGCGGTTCATTGTAAACGTAATTTAACATACGGTGTGATACAATGGTTTGTGCCTTCAATGAATACGAGTTTAAACATCAGCATTTCTTGTAAGATCTATTAATTATGAAGTGTTGTTTTGGCTTGAGTAATGAACTGCTACGATATACCAATTTATACATAAGCAACGATAACAAAAGTACTCGTTATGAAGTTGGCTAATTTAAATAGTTTAAGGGAGACAATTATATATACTAACCTAGGTAATTAAAGGGAGATAACTATATATACTAACCTAGGTATGGATATCCTGGTCCCATTAATGACTGGTTACTATTGCTATAGGGAAGGTTCGAGTTGATGACAGTGTTCCTAATGGGGTTGACGACAATGGGTGATATAGGTGGTGTAGAATGAGGCGTATGTTGTCCCAGCAAATTGTTATTTCCGGGTACAGCCTGAAAAAAGAAAAGTTTTGAAACAAAACTACAACATTTTCCCCCGGTATTCGATCGAACCAATACTCATTTGCCCAGCCGATTTTTTTCGTTCAATTCACATCCCTTTTATAAACTAGGTACAGTCGTACTTAAGCAAATCTTTTTCAATTCCTTTTTGTGCCACCAGCAACGTCCATGTAATAATATTATTGACCTGCATCGGGTGAAAACCTCCTGTAGGTAAATCGTTATTAAAGACATATTGTATCATGTAAATTAAAAATGATATTTATGTTTTACAAACATCGTCAAGTTTATACTACATTGCAACCTTCGTTTACCTTCCTTATGAATATCCACTGAGTTGTCAATCCGAAAACAGAAATATAGTATGTACCAGAATATTTTCTAAGCAATAGTATTATGCACGCTTACAATATAGTCTTCCGTCACATGTTAACATTATCATTTATATATTTATTCCATTTCACGTCCATCATACAGAGTAGCATAGATAGTTAGGAGGAATAGCGGTACTCAAAAGCAAATTTGCGAAAAACAAAGTCTATACAATTGTTTCAATACCCTGATCAAAGGTCTGGCGCATGTTGCGCCCTCTGTCGGGAGTCAAACCCGTTACTGCAAAGGTTTCAAACGCTGTCTAATGCTCTAAATCTCAAGACCTACTGGGGATGTTTGACTACATTAAAAATTACCTGTGTCATGGCGGTGAGAGAATTAAGATGGTGATTGGACATCATCGCCTGACCGTCCTTCTCGTGATTAAGACCCATGTAGAGCCCGTTTCCATTAAATTGAGGATCCAGGAAGTGTTCTCGCTTCACGTTATTCATGTTACTTCTCGGGGTCATGTCCCGTCTCGTGGCTAGGAAGCACGTGCTTGGCTGAGTGGACAGATTGGGCCGAAGACCTGTATCATCTACAAAACACACAAGTTTCGTCATTAGTATTTTATTTAGTATAAACAAGGTTCGCCGATGTTTTCACTACATTGTAACTTCTTAAATCTAGACATTCAGAACATCCTGGCACAATGGTGTTTTAAACGGACAATCCCAATTTTCCAGATTAATTTGATTCCAGTTTAGATCTTTTCGGGACAGAGAAAAAAAACTGTCATCAAAATCCCACAATTGCAACCAAGGATAAGTTAAAAATAAAGTTTACTACAAATATATGTGTTTGGCGATTTTTCAATAGAAGTGTCATCTTGTACCAACAAAGTCTATTAATATAACCCATACATTAGTGACATTGTGTACCTGGCAAATCGGTGGCATCACTACGTACCTGTCTTCATGTGTTTCTCTAGTAAAGACTGTATTTCAGTATCCTTTTCCAAAGCTAGCTGGGTCTCCACGGCCATCAGTACATACTCGTCCAACAGCATCCGAATCAGGTGAAATGACCCTAAAATCAGGAAGGCCACTGTTGTCATGTTGTACATACTTTTCTGTTACTGACCCAGTACTAATTTTACTGGTTTTTAGTTCTGTATTGTATTTCTAACAGATGTAAATACTTATTAACATAGAACTTTGAATCAAGAACTCACCAAAACACGTAGCGTTGTTCAAGGTAAGGTTGTGCATGATTCTTGCTCCAAAAAAGGACCACTTCAATAGGAACGACGACGCTCGCTTTTTAAAGGATCTGCCATTTTGTTTACTGGGCTGTTATCGGAGGGAAAAAAATCAGGTTTACGGTTAATTCAATATGTACATCCCCAATCATTTAACAACACATTTGGTTCCATAATGCAATACTACACGATGTTGATAGATCAGTTACCTATTCATATCTTATTGCTTATGTAACCTAACTTTTAAACGATTATCTACTGGTTGGATGTGAAATAAATGTGGTATGTTTTTATTTTTATTTTCTAGTTATTGTTTCTACATTATTCAAAACATGAGATTTATTCAGAATTTATATAGATCAAATGGAAACTCTAGATGTGTTGCTAAAGAATGCAATAGTGTGTGTTTGCAAGAATTAAAAATTAACTTTCTGTAAAAAAAACCCACCTATGTACTTGTAGAAAGTCGGCAAATTACAATCAATAAAATCAATATTTAGTAAAAGCACTAATTGCATGATAAATACATATTTAATGCAGTGAATTAAAAATATTCATTGTTACTTATTGACTATCTCTGCAATCATACTCCCGTGATAGCTACATTAAATAAATACAACATTTGTCCATGAAACGATTTGACATGTAGACATTTTATTAACCCTATATCAATAATGTCATTGAATTGTACGCATGAAGATGCCTTTTGATTTTTTAATTGTTTTGTGTACCTGGTGATTTTATATATTTATTGAACTGTGAGTACTGACCTTAATGACCCTTAGTTCCACCACTCCGTCCAGCCACTCCGTACACGCCTCTACTGTCGCCTGTTTACGTAATAATTCCTTGAACTCTCTTAGAACTGTAATTAAAAAAGGCCCATCCATTAAACATGGATTTCTTTTTACAAAAATGTTAATTTGAATAATTGTTTGAATTTTTACAGAAAAAAAATCGTAACAGACTTCACTGAAGACTCACGAACTGGTAAGAGTTTTGAGCGTTTCTTACCCCACAATGTAAAGCATACACCAAACCACTCGATACCAACAATTATGTTTCTATAAGAATGCATATATATAACCTTAAGTTTAATTAAAACTAATTCTGACCAACACTGCATGCATTCCAAACCTTATGAGCACGCGGATTTGTGTAAAATAAAGTCTCGCGAGAAATAAAATTCTCAAACGAGAAACTTACATTCTGCGTTAAGTTCTGTATCGATATCTCCGTCGCTGCTTGTATTTAGCGCATGCGTGCCGATGCTATTGAGGTCTATCCGGTCTACATCAGCAATCATTTGGTTGACAACCTGGGCGTCGTATAGCACTGGGCGGGCTGTCTGTTTTTGTAAAGTTAATTTTGATGACTGGCATGTAGTGGGTAATTGGTAAATGGTTAGATTTGAAAGAAAATCAGAAGGATAACCATTAATACGTGTTTGTAAAATATAAGACAGGTGCATATATCCCGTGAGATATAGATTCCATATACACCAATATATACTTCTATTAAACATGGCATACAATCAAATAACACTAATCTAGTAATTCGTCGTAAGAAATATTACAAAGTGTAATACACAAGTGGCAAACATTAAAAAGATAACCTAAATAAGAATTGCACTACGCAACCGGAACAGGAAGTATGCAGTAAGTAAACGAACCGGAAGATATCTTCATACTGCGAACTTAGGATAAAAAATAAGTATGTTTTTGTCAGTAAATATCTATTTACCTGAGCGAGGTGAAGAAATGATATTTGTCTTTTCATGGATTGGGCGAACCGCCTTGCAACCGGAAGTTTGCTTTCGGATAAAAGATCAGGGAGGTTCTCTAATGACGTGGTTACCCAATTCTCCCAATGTTTAGCAAAGTTCCTTAGATCACATAGTAATCTGTAAAGATAATACATCCGGTTAGGTGATTAGGAATGGCACAATTACCTACAGTCGTAAAATCATGCAATAAGACCGCTATAAATATCACACAATAGGATCCATTTTTGTTTTCGGCATAAAAAAGTTCTAGGAATTCACAGTTAGAACTTACGCACATATATATATGTATAAAGTAAAAAACGTTTTCGTTATTATATATCTAGATTGCTTACCTTGTCTCTTGAACATACATTAAAAAACATTTTACTTTGTAACTTTTACTTGGTTATATGATTAACCAGTTTTAAAACACACGTTAATCTTTGCAAATACTCACGTTTCTGGCATTTCTTGCATTGTAGCTGGGATCAGGACTTCAGTTAACACCTGAGAAAATACAAATTCAATTCTTTAAATCGAAATGAACACATATTTTATTTCAATAGCACATACATGTCACATTAATATCGCATGCGTGCCTTCTTTTAAAATAACTAACCCAAGAACGATAAACGTTTTTAAACATTTCTATTAACAAAACTGAAATGCAAAGGAGAATAGCAGCATTTATTTGTTTCTATTCTTTTCAACTTATTCTTATTTGTATTTTGGTATACCAATGTTTCATTTTAATTCAACAAAAATATTTATTTCATAATTAGTTATTCACTTAATCAATGCTTTATTTCACACTTCGAGTCACTCGTGTGTATCACGAACGATAATTATCATAAAGACACTATAAACAATTTGACACACACAATGAGTAATGCTTCGTGGGTACGGTACCTTGTAAAGTATATTGTCACAGACGGCAATTATATCAATAATCACAGGATTTTCCACCAAAGGGAGTAAGTGTTCAGGCAAGCCTTGCCAAAAATGAAGCAGGAAATTTTGAATCTGGAAGAAATATTGCAAATATTATTGGCAGGAATTTGTTTTATCTTACGGAACTAAATTATTATTCAGTATATGATTACTAATTGAGCGATTAATTTTAAGTTTACCATACGCAAAAACAGGGAAAACGCTGAATGGTAGAAATGGGTAAGTATACCATAAGAATAAAAAAATGAGGTTAGAAAAGACGAACGGCGACAGAATAAAAATGCTTTATGAAAATGTATATTATTTTACCTATAATAGGGAAAGACGTCTGCAGTGATAGTTTGTATATCTATAGTTTGCCTGAACAGATTGTGCTAAAAATATATATCTTGAATATGAATATAAGTATTGAGCTTTTGGTAACAGTTAAGTGAAATGTGAGGTGAAAGTTTCCGTGTCTTGTGCACATCATATTGATATCCTCGATATGGTTGATAGTTTAAATAAATTGAAGAATATAAGAAGGTATTGACTACGATTTCCTCAACAGCGAGTTATGTATTGCATCATGCTTTCATACACAATTAACTTATATGCATGTACTTAGTTATGCCATTTTACCCAATACCCAATATAGATCACAGACATTAAAAATAACGTCTTTCTATCAAATTCAATGTCATTCACCTGAGTATAAGTTCTATGTATATGTCAGTACATATATTACCTAAGGTACCACACTTAGGGCATAATCGCATTACCTTGTAAGCCAATTACGCATTAAGTATAAACTAATAACAGTATATGAGTAAACGGTGCAACAGGATGATAATGCGTTTATAAGATAAGGTAAGGAACACTCAGGGGATTAGAAGTCGGTGGTAATGGCGGTCTGAAGGCGTACAGGTTTGTGTAATCTTTATTACAATATGCATTTCCTCCTATCAGTATGGATCATAGAAAGGAAAGTTGAAGACAAAAACAAATAGGAAAGGATTGACATAAAATTAACCAATAAATACCCTAATTTGAAAAGGACATTCGAAGATTGTTGGTGAGAAAGTGTGAATTCAAACATTTATATTCGACAAAGAGAGAGAAAAGTGTCAAACTGTAAGAGGTTAACCTCAATAACTGAACCTAGAGCATTATATCAATAATTTACCGTATTTCTCTTAAGTAATAGTTCTTATAGCACAGACCAAACATACAAAATGTCCATCACGATATAACGCCATGCTATCTTCCCCTGTTAGATTGGTTAACATGGGACTGGCATGTCTATGAAAAAATGTCCCAGACCACCTATGTTCACGATGTCATTTGCCATATTGCACTTGTAAAACGCTTAATAACTCTGGCATATTATGTACCGTTGTCTGTTGTCCTAACTTTTGTACAACCTCTAACAGATAACTGCTGCCCTTGTGTCATACACACTGCTGAATTCAACACCCCGAAATCTGCGACGGTGTGATTTGTTAATTTCATGTAAAAGGAAGGCGACAAAGAGCAAATACCACAACATGAAAAAGGAGATCTCTGGACGTGACAAAAACAGGGGATTGTGCAGTACAATTATCCGATAGTGTGAAGCAGGGCTTTCACGTCAATGCTTCAAGTTGAGTCTCCAATACTGAGTGACTCATCCGTGGGGAAGATTAACTGTGTCTCTCGCTTATCCAGACCCCATGCGGTGATGCAAATCTACTGAAGTCTGTTTGTGTAGGATTACCGACCTGACAGATTCTTATTGAGTATGATAGCTCGTAAATTCATTTTTTCTTTTTCTATATATCGACTTGATTCTCCTTGTTATTGAATATTCCCTCTAACTTTGATAAATCAGTCTGCCGCCATATGGTCTCCTTACAGTAAACACAATGTCGCTCACAACTGGCAACAATAATCTAAAACATTCAGATTAATTTACCAAGCAGTGATTTATATACTTAAACCCATCCTATTTATTTGCTTGTTTCTGAATTATCATTACAGTTATGCAATAGGATTGTCTACTTGTTATCCAACGTCACATCCCATTCGACCTCCTACGTACAATTTATGCAGATATTAGGCTTTACTTCCCTGACTGAGACTCAGTAACTCAAGTCTCTCCTTGTTTGAACTGTCCACACAAATAAAACAGTATCAAATCGAATTTAAAGAGGACACTGGCTGGGTTCTTCCTGATAAATGACTCAAAATTAAAACGTAATTAATAAAACTAGCCAAGGGAAATTTAAACATGAAAACAATAAGCCCGGTAACATAAAGATATGACCAAACAAGACCAATATATATCAAAATATAAAGTTAAGGGATATGTTTGTCTAATAGTATAAGGCAAAGTAGACATTAGGTCTCTTATAATGCTCATATAACACTGAAGTATTACTATTTCAGGTTCAGTACAATCAATAATTTGATAAATATATAGAGTTTGGTATTATATGGCGTTTGCTATATAATGCTATATTGAACAAACATCTTATCCATCTATTACGATTCAGCTCATATACCACAAATATTAATTATTTTTGCGAATGCATTTCAAACAGAATGCCTTGTAATTTCTTTGTGGGCATATCATTACAGGAAACATATATAAGATACACAGAATATAATACAGGTATTAGAAACGTTTCTAAAAATAAATATAACAAATCAGTTTTTGATACAAAGCATACATTAAACTAATAATAATTATTCGATAAAAAAGGATAGGTTATATCTCCAAATACATTTCCTCTTAAGACATTCGCAAAATATTAAGAGTGCATTTTCCCCATAGAAAGAGTAATAATTACATAAAATACCAACCGACTGTGCGACCAGGAATTTATATAGAGTGACTTGAGATTTGACAATTTGGGAAAACTCGAGATAAGCATGTCCCCAGCTAGTTTAAAGTAATCTTTGACACGGTGAATATGAATAAATTCCTTTGACGGATTAATGTTAAGAACACAAATCAATTAATTAACGAAACCTGATATATATTTTACTTTTAGCTTTATAAATGAATGGATACATATCAGAAGAAAGCATTTTTTGACAACACGCAGGTAGTCCAAAATTTTAATTATAATGCTTATTTTCAAAGGGAAATACCTGTTTTAATATCATATGCAGACTATATAAAACAATTTTTACACCAAACACAAATTGCTTATTCTTATTTGTTATAATCAAGTCTACCAAATAAATTATAATATGCATTTAACAAAAGAATATTCTCGCTAGAAATATACAGGTTCTATACAAGCTAGATTATGATTTCACGTATGCCAGCACATAGTTCCAAGAGAAAAAGGATACCACGGGAACGAACACGTCTCAAGCGTCTCGTTGATATTGATGTCAGATCAGCAGGCCTTATCAAACACAATATTTTAAACCACAATGTATATTCTTACATAGAACAGTTACATCATGGCGATCTGAATAGTTCAGATTAAGAACCTGGTTGGTTAGAACAACCAGGGAACATGAGTTATGCTGGGCATATCTGAATTAAACATGAAATAATTGTATGCTATTGTGCAGTATAAACAGCGAAATAATAATATCGACAAAATAGTTTGAAAAAAGCTAGTTACATAATGATTCATGATATGTCACTTTAAACAGATATGTCAATTGCCTTAAATTATTCTCAAACAACAGAAAACACTGAAACTGTATTTCAAGTTCAGCTTAAGTAATTTAAAAATATTAACAAGTTGAAAAATATGTTGAAGAAGCAGATTTGCTTTCGAAGGATTGCTTATTCACGGTTAGTTATATTTTAATTGGTATAATAATAAACAAATATCTCTTTGAGAAAACTCGACTGGTCTCCATCGTAGTCCATAGAACCATATCATTTCTTATATATGTTGTTATTAATATTGTTGTTATCACTACATGACAGTGTATGAATTATACATAGAAGTGTTTGTGTGTGTACATCTTGTTGACACTAGAGGTTTTACAGAGTTTACAAACGATTATTATCATAATCATTATACAGACAGTGGTGTATAAGCATGCTTTTCAACTAATTTTCAAACAAATTTAATATGCAACACATGCAAAGAACTCGTCAGTGTCTTCTTTGGTCCATATAAACCACACTAGACGTAACTCGTGAACAGTCTTTATCGGTATACAAGAAAGCCCGTATGTTTGTGCTGTTTTCGGGGCACTAATCCCCCGTAATAGGTAGTTGATACCTTGTCAATGTAAGTCTACGTATGACACTGTCCTCAGAGATAACCTTTCGAGAGACATCAAACGGCAGAGGAACATCGGGGTTAATGCAAGTGTAAAGGGATGCAGCTCCGTGGTAGGAGTCGCATTTACTGTGACAAACAACGGACTTAATACAACTAACTTAATCCCCCATTAATATCACACTCAAAAGAAGTTCGAACATAGATATCAGGTACAACTTGTTTCAATCTCTGTGATGTTCCTCTTCTCCTTAAATTGAAAAGTGTGTTTAATATTGACATTTATGCCCATAAGAACAACAAACGAGATAAATAATATCACTTTTGTCGATTCATGATGATACATAATACTCTATACTGTCGACTGAACTGCTAGTCCTCATGGTTGGTCGTACTCATTTTAGCTGGAATTTATTATGGCACGGTTTAAATGAACTGCTAGTTAAGAATACCTTACCTAGTTATAAAGGGTTGCATAAGTATCTTTCCTCATTTGATATTTACAAAAAAATAATTAAAAAAATGGGAAATGTTTAAGACATGAATTTCCGACCTTTTGACCGTTTCTACCACTGATAAGTCTTAGATGGACAAGTTGGCAATTTCATTTGCAGTAAACGTGTTTAATTTGTATGCCTTTCTGCATTGATTTACTAAACATTAAATGTGTGTTTCTTTACTTCGTATTTCTAGTGTGTATTGAAAAAACACCGACTTATATGATTAACTAAATGTAAACATAAATTATTTAAACGCATTTAAACAGGACAAGCTTAACGACGTTCTTACGTACAATTTCATTTCAAGGTAGTTTTTCTGATATCTCACCAAAACTTAAATCAAATAATGATGAAATGTTAACACCGAGGAACACAGTTTAACGACAGTTTGTATGATGTTTGTTACTGAACGTGAGGCTTCGTTTTGTGGATTTCTTTTAATCTAGCCATGTTGCATACAATGATAAAGGAAGGGGAAAATAATGAAGTTGTAACCTTGTTCACAAGGTGTTGACCTAACCGAACTGGACCAAATTGCTCATTGCATCATAAGTTTCACAAAACAAAGTTCATGGCAAATATTTTCGGAATATAAAAGTTACCATTGGACATATTTTGATAAGGCCATCACACCTGATTTCATATATACATAAAGTCAACACAATTGTACTGATTGGGGATTTGATTTTAAAAGAAAATTTCATTTAATCGACATGTAAAGCTGACAATACACTGAGCAAGCGGTTCATGAACTGTTTGTAAGTTTACCTCTTCAAAGTTGGCATTAATGGCCGTGTCAAGAATGCATTGACAATGGGTCTTGTACATCATCACGAACGTCTCTACCTGGAATGACAAGGGAGGTAATTAGTCAGGTACCACCCCTAAACCCGTGTCCGGGACTGATAAACAGCTTCCTAATATCGAGTCTGATAAGACTAATGTATACCCTGGGAAGATAGAGCGACACATTAGGGAGATAGGACTTAAATTTACGCGGATTTAACTTTCTTGTCTATTCTTTTGTTTAATGTCAATGGACGTAAAACCAGGACCCAGTTCCCGGGTGGGGGCACATTTTGTATCTTAATTGTCTTATTTCTGAGTTATTTATGTTATCAGTTCTGACAATCATCTTTTATATATGTCATACAAATTGCTACGATATCATATTAGTCAATGTTTGTTTATATATAAGCATACATTTCGAAGAAGATACATTTGATAAATTTCAATTTAATTATGGTATATGAATCTTGATTAACAAGCGGAACAATACCGTATAGATTTATTGATTTGAAAGTTGTAGCTGCAGATGAAAAATTAAGAAACCCTGAAAACAAAATATACCGCAGTGTCAATACAGAAGGACAACCCAAAACTGATTGAGACGGGCTCAATGTATGAGTCATTTTTGTCCAAAACACAGTCTAACTCATGTTTCAAAACCATAAAATACAGGTGATACCGGAAGGGCCAGAAAGGGAGGGCTTAATGCTGGTTCTAAGGCTAACATGTAAGCCTCACAATACAGACCGAAGTAAATAAATCACCGTCGGATTTATATAATAGTATACTGTGAAAGAAATAAATCCGTCAAAAGTCAGGTGCATCTGGCAATTACGTATAGCCATAGGTCTGTATTGTGTATACAACTTAGGAATATTTGCACCTTGTAACAGAGGGCGAGTACTGTCGACAGGACAGTACGGTATTCAGGACTGTTTCAAAGCTTACGTTATCTAGCCTCACGTTCAATACGGCAGTCAATAGACACAGTAGTGAGGCCAGTATATTTAGTGGAACTGACATACGGTGAAGCTAGAGAAATTACCTTCATGATAAATTCTGAAATGATACATTTTTCCTTTTACAAGTTGTAAGGCTGGACCCACAGTGTAAACATTGCGGTGTTTGAACAGGACTAAATATTGTTAGAAGCATTTCACCAGAAGAATAAGAGTGGATTTGTAGGCAATTAATAATGCGGCCGTGAGCGCGGGGTTTATCAGTGTTTCAATAAACAGTTAAGGAAATTCAATAAAATGTATCAGCTCCAAGAGGATACTCAACACAGAGCTGTATATAAATTTACCTTGGGTTCGAAATCAACTCTCAAGGCATGTACTAGTTTAATAAAGATTCCAATTATTATGGAATTAATATTCGCGATGCTGTTATCAAGGCAGTCATTTGCCAAACCCTTAACAATTTATTTTGTTGCCGAAGCGTTTATGTGACGTACACGTGCGCACAAATGTAATTAAGCAAATCTCGTAAATCAAAGGTGCACCATCCATCATTAGGTCAGCATTTCAGTAACATTACCAAGTGAACCGTTAAGACGGATTTCAAATACAAACATATCTAAGATAAATCCATCATGTATAACTTATAATACCGGTTTTGCAAAATCATTATCCATGATTTATCTATTAGAAATTAATAACAGCTGGTTTGGGTGAGGACTTTAAAATTTAAACAGTGAGGTACCCGTGTAACAAAACAGCTTCATTTTGAGTAATGTCGAAAAATGTCAGTGAAGTTTGATAACAAAAGTGTTTATTAGAAAAAAAATATTTATGAATATATATGTAAAGAAAAATGAAAATACATTACCTTTTCCCGCGGGACTGAAAGAGGAAGAATAAGATATTGCGCATTGGGAAATTCGGGCAGCAGTGTTCCCGTCTTCGAACTTAATGTATATTTCCGTGTGAAACCTCCCTGAAAGACACAAGAAAGATATAACTTAGTGATTTCAGAAATAAGGAGATAACTATCTGATATGCACAAAAGTTATAGTAAGCATACCAAATAGAAATTTATCTTAAATACACTGTCTTTTTATGCTATTCTGACAAAAATTTACAAATCCAACAAATTCTTAAAAACACAAGGAAAAAATAAGAAACCAATTTGACAAAACAAATAAAAACCACATTTGGTATAAGATGTGAAAAGACGAAAATCTTCATTAATAACGAATGCGGTACCAAAATTCCAGAATTCCGAAATGAATGTTATTATATTTGATGGTTGACAGTTTCAGCGGAAATAATTTCTTAAAGCATAAAAAATTCGTCATTAAAAATAATTTTAAAAACAACAACAAAACATCGGAGGTGTAAACATATTAACTGCTATCAAAAGTATCACTTTCAAAACACATTAATAAAAATAAATATATTTTGATAGAAATTAAAGGAATACAATTACAATACATTTTGTTGTGCTGGGATTTAAGTAAACTCTTATAATAACCCTATTAAAATACCAACATTAGTGAGGCCTGCTCCATTTGAAGTGGTACATTTTAGCGTTGGGGTTGTAGTTGCGTTATGGTATCTTGTACATCACCACTTGTGTTTGTTGTAAGAGTTTGTTTGCCTATCGATAGTGCTGTGATATATATGTAGTTAGTATGATATGATAACCTCTTGGGCCCGTAAATGATGCGATACGACGATGTTAGATGCTTGATACAGCTTTATTAGGTCTATTTGCGATTCGCGGTTAAAGACGGGCGTGCCTCGGTTGGTGGCGACAGCGGAGGGATTTAAGTTATAGTGAAATTGATAGTTGGATAATGTTTGAATGTTGTGATAAATTATAAAATAAACAAAGTAGATGTGAAGTCAGTAAAATGGATAAAGAGAAAGTATTTGTAAATAGAAATCATAACAAATAAATTCGAGATAGTTCCGGCTTTTATCTTCCTTACGAATAAACATACGAATCAGTAACCAGTCTCTCCTTATCAATTAGGGAGGTGTACCTGTGTAGATATATATCTTATTGACAGAAAGGTCACATCATGTCTCAAAACGACGATTTATATAATGCACTTTAATCTTTTATAATAGACTTCTGATAGAATATTCCATGCTTTTATTACAAGCATTTCTATTTTATTGTTTATTGTTGATAAAAATATTCAATATCTAAATGCATCACGATGAAAAAAAGTGTGATGGTGTCTTGTAAAGGATATTGGGGATGGTTTGTAAGTGACAACTGAATATATCCTTATGTATTTTCTAAAATTAACAATAAAACAGGATCAAATTTCGACTTATTATCTTTATTATAAGGTACGATATATAATTAACACTATATTTTCTTTTTATTACCAAATTCAAAATTAGTTCAATTACGACAAAGATTCGCGAAAGTACAGTTTAGTATCACTAGGCACGATAGCTTAAAAGGAAAGTAAATAGAAATTTTCGTATAACGCAATTTAATTATGTAATGAATATGTAAATGAATCTGATACAAATGTTCTGCAGTAGGGTAAATAACTACTGTTTTTCTATAGTTGAGAATTGAAAATCTCGGGATTCATTTAGTGTTTGTTAAATGGTAACCTATAAAATTTCAAAGAATTGATCAACATTTTTAATAAAAAAAAAAATTGTCCAGACAAACGTAACGTCCTCCTAGAAAATTATGGAAATTAATCACAATATTTCTTTTTCCACCACAAAAACTGTTGTGCATCGAATACTTTTGGTCCTGAAACAAACGATAACTTCCAGGTAGCTGTCGCCGGCTTGAGGTGATAAGGCAACATCATAAAGAATGCTCTGACTCAATACCATGGTGATACCTCTTGAGTATTAGTATGTTAACAGTGCAATAGGAATACATTCCTTAACCAAGAACATCTACCTAAATATATTATATTCGCCGGAGGATAGGGATAGGGTGTATAAATGTCACGAGAAAAGCACGGATTTTAGACGATTAAATTTGGTGACAGATTTTAGCCGGAGTTTGCTTCTAAATGATCCAACGTCTACAGAAATAAGGTAGCTAAAAGGAGTTTTGACTTTGATGCGGTTTTCGCCTAAAGTGGGCTTTTGAAGATTAGAGATAACACATTGAGTCTGTGATTGGTGTGACGATGAAATTCCGTATCGGTCATCCCTCTACCCCACACAACAGCTACCAGCCACAAGGACGTTAAGTCAACCCATGATTAATGTATTAACTGTATTATTATACCCTAGGCAATGTACTGTAGAAACAACGTCAATAAATTACGGCAGTATTTTGTGGTGGAATTGGATATTGTTTTTTTATTTTTATATTTCATTAAAAAATCATGTATTTCTTATTCATACACCACGTAGGAGTAATTAATCAAGTGTTTACTTATCCAGGCCGGAAATAATGAATGTAACCATTTTATTCACTCCACATAGACTGAAAAAATACATTACGAAAGTGAAACTCAAAAAAAATGAAGAAAGAAACGGTTTCTTACCTCGTTTTTAAGTTTGCATCCAGAAAATCTGTAAAAAATATAAGACAAGATTAGCCATTTTAACAGTAGGTATTATAAAACAATATTTAAAAACTTGCCACGCAGTGAGCTTAAAACATCACCAGGTTCCACGGTAGAAGTTAATAAACGATCGGGGGAAATTGAAAATAACACTAAATAGAAGCAATGGCTAGAGAATGCCAACAAGATGATCCATAGTGTAGCAATGGCTAGAAAATGCCAATAAGATGATCCATAGTGTAGCAATGGCTAAAAATACCAATAAGATGATCCATAGTGTAGCAATGGCTAGAAAATGCCAATAAGATGTTCCCTAGTGAAGCAATGGCTAGATAATGCCAACAAGATGATCCCTAGTGTAGCAATGGCTAGAGAATTCCAACAAGACGATCCCAAGTAAAGCAATAGTTAGAGAATGCCAACAAGATGATCCCAAGTGTAGCAATGGCTAGAGAATCCCAACAAGATGATCCCAAGTGTAGCAATGGCTAAAGAATGCCAACAAGATGATCCCAAGTTTAGCAATGGCTTGAGAATTCCAACAAGATGATCCCTAGTGAAGCAATGGCTAGATAATGCCAACAAGATGATCCCAAGTGTAGCAATGGCTAGAGAATCCCAACAAGATGATCCCAAGTGTAGCAATGGCTAAAGAATGCCAACAAGATGATCCCAAGTTTAGCAATGGCTAGACAATGCCAACAAGATGATCCCTAGTGAAGCAATGGCTAAAGAATGCCAACAAGATGATCCCAAGTTTAGCAATGGCTTGAGAATTCCAACAAGATGATCCCTAGTGTAGCAATGGCTAGAGAATTCCAACAAGACGATCCCAAGTAAAGCAATAGTTAGAGAAAGCCAACAAGATGATCCCAAGTGTAGCAATGGCTAAAGAATGCCAACAAGATGATCCCAAGTTTAGCAATGGCTTGAGAATTCCAACAAGATGATCCCTAGTGAAGCAATGGCTAGAGAATGCCAACAAGGTGATCCCAAGTGTAGCAATGGCTAGAGAATGCCAACAGGATGATCCCTAGTGAAGCAATGGCTAGAGAATGCCAACAAGATGATTCCAAGTGTAGCAATGGCTAGAGAATACCAACAAGATGATCCCTGGTAAAGCAATGGCTAGAGAATGCCAACAAGATGATCCCTGGTAAAGCAATGGCTAGAGAATGCCAACAAGATGATCCCTAGTGAAGCAATGGCTAGAGAATGCCAACAAGATGATCCCAAGTGTAGCAATGGCTAGAGAATGCCAACAAGATGATCCCAAGGAAAGCAATGGTTAGAGAATGCCAACAAGATGATCCCTATTGAAGCAATGACTGCAGCAGACGTATTAACGGTTTGTGACGTCCGCCACTTTGAGACAAACTGTGAGGCCAAAATGTACTCAAAAATAGTTAATCTGATTCAAATTAAACAAACATGATTTTAATTCGTTTAATAAGCAAAAATTGGGGCTTTCAAAACATTCAACAATTTCATTTCTTATTTTTACTTTTATATATATTTTCAAAAGTTTGTACCAAGATTGCCACCTAGTTAATCCGCCAAAACCTCAATATATACATTATCACAGTTTTTACTTCACTCAAACAAGCGAAGACAATGATATTAGGTACATGCACAATATATATTGTCTTGCATCTTAAGTAAAACAAATGTCAATTTCGTATCATCATAAGTAATAATTTCCCAACTGGATTTGCTTTGACATCAGGCAGATGTGCACTGACTGTTCCCAGAGTGTTGGAACATTGCTGCCGGAAAGACCGGAATTTGGATCACAATGAAAACATTTGCGCTCCTGATAACACCGGAATACGGGGACTTAGCCGGGATATTAAAGTGTGGTTGGTCAGAGCATAACAAAGATAATATAATTACATATACACGTGTACAGATAAGAGAATACAAAGAAATTTAATATAGCGCTTATTTGTTTATCCAACTGAATATCTCTTTGCGGCATCAAAGTGAACAGGCAGAAATTGAACATGTTGTATTTATTACTATACTCTTAATAAAATACATACGATTTGTTTTAAACAATTGGCTTAAACTAGAAGTTTTATATACAATAAAGGTAACAAAAAAATGATTTAGTATATAATAAGAAAACATTTCATGTATGCCATATATAGAAATGCGCAAAGAAAGTATTTGTATAAATTAAGAATGACAAAACAGATTCATACAGTAGTTTTTAAGCGAAATGATAAGTTTCTTATTTGTCCAGAATTGGCATTATTGCGTGACTGGCTTTCCTGCCAAATTAACAGTAATAGTTCCATGAAAAGAAAAATATTTCCATTTTAGATTGACGTAACAGCCGCCGATGTGAAATGTTACCCTGAAGACTATTCCATACAATGTCAATTTCAACAGGGTAAATTGGAACTCAGATCTTTTTGAAAATTTCTTTAGATGCAAAAATGGTAATAGTTTCATTCTTTATTTTGCGGTGCGGATATCCGGAAATAAGAAAATTATAAAACGAAGTATTCACAAAATCTGAGCGATTACCTATTGATAACTAAATAAAACGTGATATAACCAAGGGAATTATTTTCAGATAAAGAAACAATCCTTTTGTTTGTTAAGGAATAATCCGACACACTGTATTCAAACTTCTGTATGGTTTATACGATACGTTTCAAAATCCACAAGGCGTCTATTTTTACATTGCCAACTAATACTATTAACCAAAACACAAGAAACACAAAATTGGCGTCACCATATAATGTCTAAAAACTTATTAATGTTCAAAAAAAAAATAAAAAAATCCTTAAATAATTCTCTTATTAACTTTGACTCACATCTGTTTTTTGAGGTTTATTTGGATGGCATTATTAAGTTCTTACATTGAAATTAGTTATGTAGAGTGTAATATTCTTAAGCATTGAACTGTTTTTGTATGGTATCTGTTGTCTGACTCTTATGTTCTTTTTTAACTTATAATTTATATTTAAAACTAAAAATTCCCGCCTTTTCGACAGTCCACACAATCTCGTTCAATAATTTGAACAGCGTATTGTCGCGTGCTGATTGGCAAACAAAATGGTACTTTGAAATGTTAACAAACACTTCATTTTTATTCCACAATTCAGTATCAATACAATTGCGTTTGATATGTCTATAGGGTGATTTAAGTCTATCAAAAGAAATCTGAGCTGAAGTTTCCCCCGGAACAAATTTCGCGCATGGATTAATACAGTGAACACCTTGAATCCGACCTTGACCTCCACGAAGGAGTTATTTTTGGAAGTTAATTCGAAAGTTTCTCTTTGCTCAGAAGCATCCAGACGTGAATACATTTGTTGATTGTATGGGAATCTGACTACAGTCGGTAAATTATATAACAGACTCGTTATTTGACATGTCGTGATCAGAAACTGAGGAAACCGTGGCTGCGAGACGCGTGAAACTGATATCGTTTCAAGTGAGTGATCTTGCGACGGAGCACAGGGGTTCGTTACAAATGTCTGAAATGTTTATGTGTGCTGTGACTCATATCAGTAGGTCTGTAGAATATGTGTAGTTCAGACATTTGTATCGAACCCCTGTTGATCAGTGCAGTGTAACAGACGATATTTCTGATAAATTGCATGAGTGTTAAAATTGTGTCCTTTGTCGGCATTGATGATTTCAACCGATGTGCATTTTGTACGATATTGCAGACCTTGGTCTTGTTTTTGTTGTAATAAAAGTATTTTTTATTTACTTTTTTCTTTCGCACATAAATTTACAATGACATTGTCAAGTCTCACAACGCCAAGCGATATTTCAGCAGCCGTCACGTTTATTTACATTGGATATTGTAGTTCCGGTCAGTGTTGTATTAATACGCTAAGAATTGTGTCTCGTGCTGCATGGTAATTAAAGTCCCATCAACGACACAGTATTTTCGTTCAATTTCAAACTTTTGAGATGATCATAACATTCAAATTTATATAGAATATATTCAGGAATATAACTACCTTATCAGGTAATAATGAGAAAAAATATACCAAATACGACAGTGATAGGGTTCTTCCTTTTTTGTGTTTTGAACATATAGTTTTGTGGATATGTTTTACTACGGCAACACATACGTCATATAATTACGGTTGTTAAGGAAACAATAGCAACGAAATAGACAAAAGGAAAGATAAGATACTCTTAGCATCACAATTGGAGGCAGATACATATTTGAGAGCTACAATACATTATGAAAATGATGATATATAACGGTTCTCCTGATGTAAGTGAAGCAGTAAAAATCATGGATTCAAAAAAAGTAGATTTTATTTTTGACAAGTTTATATTTGACAAATAATTAAGTGTGAAGGCTAAGCGGTGCTTGTGCTAGATTTGGGCATGTTTATAACTTTTATTACGAGCCTTCCATTGTATGCTCTCCCCCACTTGATGTAAAACGCATTTTATAAGATGGCTATTAACAATTTCCATGGGGGTAAATTGATATTTTATAATATTGAAATAAAACAATGATATGCATGATAGCTCATATAATTGAAGATTTGTAATAAACGACATTGAGAGGACTGGTTATAAAGGTATCAGCTCCACTTATAAACGTGTACGAGTGCAGTATAAGCTATATAAATCTGTGAAAATACACAGTGCATCATAATAATTCCTTTCTGACATAAATCATCGCCATTACGTTACCCTAAATCCTGACATGTCATGACGCTCACGACACAAGTTACACAATATATTGGATTCTTAAGAAATAAAACGTGACTAATAGCAAATATCGTCATTCCAAATTAAGTAAAAACCACCACCACGAGGTGATGTCCTTTGAAACTGAAAAAGCCCTTACTTTCGAACTAATACTGAAATATACAGTTACTTCTGAAGATTTACAACTGCCATTTCTGAATTGCTCAAAGTGTTGAAAATAACGACTTCAAGAGATCATCAGCGCCTATCGTGGCACAATGTACACTTTTTAGGAGGGAAATTTACATCACTGCACCATATACCTGTCTACAGAAGACCGTTCGCACCTAAGTTTTGCTGTTACATAACTGTGGAGGTCACAAGGTCCTCCGTAAATTTACACAAGTATGAAGAGTAAAACCAAGGTGTGTTAAGTATCTAGCTTATACATTGGACTCTCTTAAATTGGTGTGAATAGACAAGGCAACATTTGTTATGAGTGGAGAGTATACATCTAGACAGGGTTTTGTAGCATGATCTTACCTACGGATTACATATTATATAAATGAATGCTGTAAAATATCGCGCTTGTAACAAATTTGTCATCATAATCTTCATGTAAGTGAACATGGAAAGTGTGAAAGGGGAAGATTAACGTACAATGCTACCATGTACCTTTTGTTATCGAATGATACCATAGATCTCCAGGGGGTGGGATGGGGATTGTTAGTGTTGTAATTCATCAAAATATTTATGAGGAAAAATATGGTTTACAATGGACATTTATATATACTCTGCCTTGTGGGCAAAAATCAAGCAAAGGCTTTCATATTCTTTTAGTAATAAAGCTACCGAATACGTATCCAAACGGTATTAGGTCGTTTACTTATGTGACTAATACTCGCAACATAACAGTGAAAATAATTCATCACATGCACGGGGTATTGTACTGTAGATAACATTTCGTAAAGAGTATTTTTACGGTTAAATCGAAAAATATTTATTTAGAATTTTTAACTACCCTTGATTAATAACATTTCTATTATTAGTAGCATTCGTTAAGTCAAATTTCTTGTCAGTCATATGATTTACGCTCTCATTTAGGCCTGGTTTCTTACTTTTGTTAAGATTTCTCCTCATCCTAAGCAATGCTTTCACCTCAGAAAAGTTAATACGAATTTAACCTTGTTACGTTACTCATATTTTGGTCATAGACAAACGATGTTTTTTCATGCTTTTTTACATGTGTTGATTTAATTACAGTGTTTTTAACCTGATGGTTGTATGTGTGTTCTTGTTACTTTTCAATTTGGAGGAAATACAGAAATAATAATAATAATGAATAAAGGAAACAATATATTAGTTTAGATGTTACTTGAAAATAAAATAGATATATGTTAATTATCAGAATTAACTATGACAAGAGTTATAAAATTAATAAAGGTTTTGACATAATCTTTGCGTCTCCTCCATGATATAACATGTGCAAAAGTGTCGTTCAATAAACAACATCTGTTTTATCGAAGATATGAGTAAAAAATATTTAATCTATTTCTTCAATTCAGTTGTGTAAAGCATTGTCAGCTAATGATATACAAAGGTAAACTTTGAATATTGAATACCTTCATGACTATTTAAACTGACAAAACGCAACTCCTGGGGTTCAAAATGATAACCGTGAGATATTATACATAGTAATGGTCATATATCTACGGACAGTTTTAAAATATAAAATTTGAAAAGAAAATCGACCGAAAGTATCCTTAAGGTAAGGAAGATACAAGTGAATCCCTGTAATCTTACCTGGTTAGACCCTTTCCAGTGTATACTGAGTGGTAGTATTGGCTAGTCTCTTGGATCCCTATACCGTAGTAATGGTATCTGAAAACACAACATATCGAGTTCAAATATACATTTATAGACAATAGTGGTATAGAGACATTGTAAATGTGTAAGATAAAATTCGTTTTAAAATTACTTATCAGACTCAGTTCTTTTTCATTGTTCGAGAATTTGGGAAAACAAAATCCATATCATAGATATATATTGTTATTGTTAGACTTCAAGATTTGCAAACGACATTTTCTATAATTTCGTGAACACAAACAGAACAGAACTTACATAGGCGTAGCATGTTGCAACCCATTTAATGTACCATCTTTGAATAACATTTGTCGAAATGAAGGACTAGTAAAGATTATAATCACTGTACGCATTCAAAAGTACCTCTTTCTTTGTATATGGTATTTCTCGCGTGAACGCAAGTTATTTTCGTGACACCATAACTCTAGAAGTCATCAGTCTAGTAAACTAACAAATTAAACCAAACAATCACGTTACAGTAAATTTCAACACTTTGATATAATTTCAATTTCAAACATTTGTAAAATTCAAGTAGACCCATTTAAAGGGGGGAAATTATGTTTTCTTCAAAACCGAAAAACAGTCAATTTGAGTCAAATGCCTATTACAACAAACCAACATCGCTGTGGTTTCCAAAAAGGCATACCAAACCGAGTTACATTATTTTGACGTCACTATCGTATGACGTCAATAACTGTATGGTGACGACATTAAACAATCATCGTATACTTACTTGGAATGACCTCGTGTTCCTAATCGTCTTGTCGTGAGATGTGGAAACTTCTGACGAATCGTCTACAATGATTTATTAGATCGGTTAACAAAGTCATCATATGTTACAATTAACGTTGCCACATTGTAATTACCATAGCGACTGTATGTGTAACTCGGACAAATTGAATGTATCCCAATCCGGAAACTTCAGTCATGCATTAGCATGTTTCCCCTTTGCATCGTTTGAATTATTCGAAAATAAAAGTATTCTGCAATTTGACATCCATTATGCCAATATTTCCTGTTTAAAATATACTTCGTTATTGGTAGATCAGAATGAATCAGACTAGGTCTTACTAAGCCGTATCATATACTACTTGTATAATTCGTAAGTGTATTGAAGGATGCTGACGAATGTCTGAATCTTTCCGATATACATGTCCTACTGTGACCTTACCTTGCCAAATGTTGCTGCACATGCCGGCTCCAAGGATTCTCTCCGACAGAAGTCGAGGTAATGTGCGTACAGAATACATCTGGGTAGACACACGCCTTCACAAATACAGTAGTTTTCTTCTAGCCTGTAACAAGTTAACAATAAAACCCAGGTTCAATACTGACATAGTTATAAGCACCTACAACAAGTTAACAATAAAACACAGGTTCAATACTGACATAGTTATAAGTGCCTACAACAGGTAAACAATAAAACCCAGGTTCAAAACTGACATAGTTATAAGTGTCTACAACAAGTTAACAATAAAACACAGGTTCAATACTGACATAGTTATAAGTGCCTACAACAGGTTAACAATAAAACACAGGTTCAATTCTGACATAGTTATAAGCACCTACAACAAGTTAACAATAAAACACAGGTTCAATACTGACATAGTTATAAGCGCCTACAACACGTTAACAATAAAACACAGGTTCAATTCTGACATAGTTATAAGCGCCTACAACAAGTTAACAATAAAACACAGGTTCAATTCTGACATAGTAATAAGCGCCTACAAGTTAACATAAAACCCAGATTCAATTCTGACATAGTTATAAGCGCCTACAACAAGTTAACAATAAAACACAGGTTCAATTCTGACATAGTAATAAGCGCCTACAAGTTAGCATAAAACCCAGATTCAATTCTGACATAGTTATAAGCGCCTACAACAGGTCACCAATAAAACCTAGGTTCAATACTGTCAAAGCTGTTATTGTTTACATAATTGATTAGTGCGATATAACGTCTTCGGAACAGTTAAAACATATGACAATGGTGGGGTTAGACTAGAGGTTTGTAAAGGGTCATCACACTGAAATGTATTAGCTTGGACACAGTTGGGTGACACTCTATCCGCTGATATTATACTGTCACTGGCCAACCAGAAGTGTCTAGGAAGACATCAACAAAACGACAGGTACAGGTCCTCAGTGATACAAAGGGGCAGCATACCAATGTTACAATGTTTGATGTCCCCTGACACCCAGAGTCTGATTGGAACAATATATGAGTTTCCTAATACGATCAATACAGTAGAACAAATAATTCAAATGTCCTCAAAACAGCAGAGGGTTTATCATTGTAGACATTACATATAAAGAAAATTTGTTTTTACCGACATCTGACACCCTGTATTATCCAACATCATTTGGCAGCAACCCGACCCAAACTTAGCAATTGCTTTCAGGAAAATGCTATTCTTGATCAAATCATTTTCCTTTCGTTTGTGCTGAACGAAATACATGTTACTCGTTAACTAACTCTTAAACACCAATCTGATAATTTGATATAGAATAGGGATAACTGAGGTAAAATATTAAAAAAAAGACGTGTGACCTAGTGGTTAAAGGAAGCAGTGTCGTAGCTACCAATGGACAGTGGAGGCATTTGACTTCATATACATTTCTTAATAATACAATTTCTGTTTTTCTCTGATTGTTAAACCATTGTCTTCACATATATTTCATATGCATGCGGTGTATGTGCGTGTTTCGCTTAATAATTATTTCCCATTTCCCGTCGTTAATGATCCGTTCCCGACACGTCAAGAGTGCTGACAGTGGTCGATTGCTGTTATCATTTACGTTATTCTGACGCCTGACAGGTTTTAAAATGTTCAAAATCATTTTCAGTGGGTGAAAGGGGGGATTGCCCCCCTGAGCCCTCTAGTCCCTGTCCCTGACACGCTGGAGGCCTATGCAGCCCCCTTACCCATCGTCTGAAAGTTTGTCTAACATCAAATTAAGCCCGGCTACGGACCCTGGGAAGTATACAATCTGGCATTACCGGGTATTTACATGAATCATGTACAGGTTTTCCAGTTAAACATTACCGTCCCTGTTTTTGTACCCTTTCCTCTCCTCTACTCAACCCTTATTAGTTTCATTCTAGAAATGTAAAGTAAACCGGGGACATGGAAGGCTTATGTAAGCTATTAACTTGTCCCTGGGGATGTCCGCTTAATTGCTTTGCGTTCTTAGCATACTTGAAACTACCGTTAGTTAGAGGACCTTTACCCGTCTTAAAAAAGAAACGGCGAAAGCTGAAGACATGTGACATGTGAAAGGTATCAGTGGTGTCGTCTCTTCAAGCACCTGTCATGTGTCTGTAATAACCGGTCTCTTACTTGTCCTTGTACCTCCACGTATCCAAACTCTACTAATACCCGTGACAGTTTGGGACCTGCTTATATTCTATAGAGAAAGCAGGGCACGCTGTATAATATATATGGCCTACATATGGTATTAACGCGGTCAGTTACACGAACACCCGAAACAGTCTGAAATGCTTTCCCTGTCCCCTGCCTGAACGCTACTTAAGCCTCTCATACATCCGGACTGCTTTTATTCTTAAATTTTTTAGTAAATTTCCAGCAGTAAACGGAGGAAAACATCGGAGTGATATAAACAAAGACAGCTATACTCGACATGTCCGAACTTATGAGAGTACGGTTATCAAAACGCTTTGATTAATTCCTACGCAAGATGCCATGTTTACCGGTGCCACTGTATTGTGAAAGTGTCGGAGATCATGACCGACCCAGGTCGGTAAACAGTCGCGGTGTATTGATATCAGCTAAACAAAGACTGCCAGGTAGGCCTCCGATTTCTATCCCGATAACACTATTGATATTAACAGATAAACTTGCTCTGCTCTTCTGATCTTATTTTGTCTTGGGAATTATTTTCGGGTGATTGAGAACTCCCCCACCGAACTCGAAACAATCGATCGAAAATTCTATTTTGTTTTGAAACATTCTCCTGCAAAGTTAATCTTACGCAGCCATAGGAGAGCGCCCTCTATCATGTCTGTCGTCGTCCGTTGACGCAAAACCTTAAAACTTTGCGATATGTTTGAGCGAGAGAAGTCAAGAACAGGCAAGACTTAATATCTTACGAGTAACATATTTGAACATTTAAAGGGACGTGTAAGTGCTACAAATACAAGTGCTGCATATGAAAGACAAAGAGGTTTGAAAATGTTTCCATTTTTTATTTACTTTTTTTCGGGAGATCGTGTCTTGTGTTCATATACCAATTGATCATTTTGTCTCAGCAGTTCCTGTTGTTGTGATATCGAGTTTTAGTTCAGATTGTGTCTTTATATATTGACAATAGATTTTCAGACAAATGATGTGCTGCCACAAATAAACTACGTCATCACGAGGTCAGATATTTTGACAGTCTTTTTTTATCACGATTTTAATTTTTAATCAAAATAAATTATTTTTATTATTCTAATTCCGATAAAATCGCATATCACATTTCGAGGTAACGGGTTTTGACTTTTTCAAACTTAAAAAAAAAACACATGTTATTGACAAAATTCTAAAAATAAACGTTCATCGCATTTAACATATGTAATACGTTATAAAATATTTCAAAAGGTAATTTCATACTAGGGCAATTTTGTATATGTCTCGATATTATTTTGACAGCTGCAGTTTCTTAATCGGCACATTGTGGCTTAGTGAGTTGTTTTCAGTGGTATAGAGTCAAGTTACCGGCGAAACAGACGTTTTTTAAAAAAGTTTTCATTTATTGTTTATTTTCAAACAAGATTTAGAAAATAGTATTTACACCAAACATAGGATTCTCATTCAGAATAAAAAATATAATTAAACACAAAAATGACCAGCATATATAAAATTATACAGGTCTTCATCCCTAGTTCTAACAAAATATAAAAAATAAATAAAGTAAATTATAGCACAGCAGTAAGAATCGAGTATAGTATTTTATAAACATGTAATAAATACCAATGTATGCACATACACTTCACACCTGTCAGCCATTACACCACTGTATCCGACTATCCAGCATTCCTTACCCTCCCGGAAACACTAGGTGTGAAGGAGCTACAGGAGTAGGCCCTGACAATGGCGGCTGCTGATGCACGCGAGATCAAATAAATGGTTAAAAGGTTCGGGGGTTAAACGGTGGTGAGTAGAATCGGCGTGTGTCAGATGTAATAAAATGTACAAGGTACATTATCGTGTTCTAAAGATCTCAAAACCCCTAGCACAGGAAGTAGTGCTGGAGGAATTCGGTATTACGTGTTATTTATCAATGGTAAGCCTCACTTAATTAAAGAGCTTAGCGGTAAAGAGTGGAACTGGTGTGCGACAGGTATTATACAAACAGGTAAAATGCAAAGTAATGTTCTTACATGGGGTCCTCAGACAGGCCGCGTTCAGGAAATAGCATTGAGGAATTCGGCATTCAGTGATATTTCTCAATAGTAACAGTTAAACCGGTAGCAGTACCTCATGAAGGGATAAATTTAGCTCCCCACTAACCCTCCCTCGGACGCCAGATTCTCCCAAAGATCACGCGTCTACTGAACTTTCTTGACCTACACATTTCATTCTCTCTCAACCTTCCATTCTTTGCGTATTTATTTGCCCTGCCCTGGTGAGGTAGTCATTGTAAACAAAACAAGATGCAACCAAACAGTAGATCTATTTTTTGGTATGCTTATAAAATGTATCAATAAAATATAAAAATACGTCATCAACATTTACCAAACGAAACTGTTGAAACAAGTAGAACAATAAAATACAAAACAATATATATTTTAGATATTTCAAACACCAGCCTGCATTAGCATGATGGCCAGTGTTTACAGTACACACAAGGTTTTATTTACTGTAGTAAATCTGCAGCTCCAGACAAACGTAAGATCACGGCATTTAGGTTAGATTTGAATATCCAAAGAGAACTACTTGTATTCAGCTCGTTAATTCAGTGTCGCTTGATTTTTTGTGTTGGTGTTATATTGATGGTGCTTCTCGTTTTGTTTCGGAGTACCACTGACATGTACAGTCCAGGGAGCAAACCAAAACGTTCGATGATGACGTTTCGGATAAAATAGCTCTGGTTAAAAGAACCATTAGGCACGGATCTCGCGCAAGATGTGTTGTCTTAATTTCCGGAATAAATCCCTGGAGTTTTGAGTGACAGAAGTGGCATCGAAGATATAGCCAATGGTTCAGTGGCTCTTGAAGAAACACTTACAAACAATTGAAGGCTTTCAGTGCTAGTCTTCGGACTTATACACAAACCTCTTGATGTTTAC